CCAGAAGTTGTGAATGCTCCAACACTGGAAGTTTTTAAGAAGAAATTGGACCACCATTTGTCTAAAATGGTATAGGGTTTCTAGCCTGAGCAGGGGGTTGGACTAGAAGACCTCCAAGGTTCTATTCTATTCTATTCTATTCTATTCTATTCCATTCCACTCCTACTCTACTCTACTCTACTCTACTCTACTCTACTCTACTCTACTCTACTCTACTCTACTCTACTCTCCCATTTAACCTGTTCTGGGGGCTCCAACGATCTTGTGAAGTGACCCCTGCTGCTTAGTTGGATTTATATGTCTGGGCTGATGGTTGTCTATTGCTACTGCCATTCGCTTGTTCTCTCGCTGACTGCCTGCTGTTGTTAGACTCCTGCTCTCCTTCCTTCATTGTTGGGTTGTCTGCCTCTCCAGCTCCTTCATCCTAGGAGACCTCCAAGGTCCCTTCAATCTCTGTTACTCTGTTATCCACTGCTCAGCTGAGCAGGGTTGAGCTTGCTCATATTCGCTGCCCTCTCATGCAACATTTGACCGCTGCCCACCAAGCCACCCACTGGCAGCAGTCCCAAAGGACTGGATAAAGCTGAATAAAGCTGGATAAAGCTGAAACTGGGCCAGAATGTAAACCCCAGGAAAATCCCCACCATAACCCTCCAACCACTACTGCCCTCCTCAGAAGCCCCTTGTCAAGCAAGCACCCATTTCCATCCATCTTGGACGTTTGTATCTTGGCGATTACAAAGGGCTTGGGACTTCATGCCTGTTCCAGGAATCCTGCTATAACTGCAGCTTTTTCTTCATTCCATGCATTTTTAGGTCTTGACCTCGGATTTGCATCATACTGAAGATTTGAAATCGGCCTCTTTCCATACTTTATTTTTGAATATTTTTCCTTGTATGCAATGAAATCACCGCAGTGTTGGGAAGGTTTTTCCATATCCTATTCATTTCGGAATCCGCCTCCTAAACATATTAAAGATAGTCCTCGCTTAAAGGCTGGTCATTTTAACAATTGTTCAAAGCTGTGATGGAGCCAGAATGGGTTCTTTGCAGCCATAAAGCATCCTCAGCCATTGTAAATGTCCACCCCACTTCACCCCCAACAATTCCATAACTGCATGAATGAGTTTTGCTTAATGACCGCAATGCTCACTGAACTGCAGTGAAAAAGGCTGGAAAATTACTTCTGGTCATGTGGGTGCCTCGACGTATGATCACAATTCTTGTTTGAAAGTCAAAAGAGTACCTGTAATTAACCATAATCAGTACGTTTAAAAAGGCACCATTATGAACATTCAACAAACATTGTAATTTTTCCTATCTTTAATCTGCATAAACAAACTGACTAAGCAGGGCCTTTGCACGTTTTAAATTTTTCCAACAATTTTATAGAAGGAACTCATTGTTTGGCTTCAAGCGCAAGCAAATCGCAAGACATATAGAAATAATTATTTCTAAAACTAATTTTATGAAACACTGAGGAAACACATGTTGAAAAAGAATGATTTAAAGCCATGGCCCCCAAACTTTTGGGCACCAGGGACCAGTTCCGTGGAGAGAGTTTTTTTCACAAACTGAAGGGGGCGTGGTTTCATGTGCTGCCTGCATCCCGCGGATGGGGCTTCGCTTGTTTGCGTGGACCAGTTTCTGGCATGCCGTGGACCAGGGGGTTGGAGACCCCTGATTTAAAGTACACAAAAGAATTTACGGGTCTAAATATTTGAAGAACAAGTCTGAAATACAGTTGTGCATAAATGATGAACGTGTAATTGCTAAAATGTATAAACTTTTATTGAAATTCAAAATGGAAGAATGAGTAATACAGGATAAAGTGGGCTAAAATATTGGTTACAATATAGATGGAACAATGGGAAAATATGATTCAAAGGATTTAAATTTCCATTATGTTATAATCTTAACTTTTTTAATAAGATAATGTACCATTGGTAGGTCACCAGAAATTATCTAGAACAGGGGTATCAAACTGCTAGCCCGCGGGCTGGACGCGTCACAAGGAAACTGCACCTACCCCATTGCCGGCAATGGGGAAAAAGCTCCGATAGGTCGCGCGACGTCATGTGACGTCGCGAGTTTGACATGTCTGATCTAGAATACATAAAGGCACATCATTATGTTGGAAATCTGAACAACAAAAAAGGGACATTTTATCATCTTTGGTGGACGCATAAGAAATCTAGAAAATGTTGGATCCAAATACATACACTAATTTCAAAGTTTTTAATGATTAATGTACAATTGAAACCACAGGTTTTTATTTTAGGAATGATCTATAAACAGTTGGAAAAAGTCATGATTTTTTTTTTTGTATGATAACTGCAGCAGGACTATGCACAAAGATGGAAAGCTTCAGGACTACCTACAATGGAAGAATGGTTGCTGAAAATGATGAGACTTGCTGAGATGGCCAAATTGACTTCTTTAATCAGAGAAAAGACATTATATATATACTACAAAAACTCTTGCCTGTAACTTGTAACTGGGCAAAATGGTGCATCGTAGGGCAAAATCTTTTTAACTAAGGTTCCTCAAATGGGCTAACTTATAGAATGCATCCAAAATCTGGGACCCATGATTTCTGTGGGATTGAAATTTGGCAAATGTGTGGTTACATCAGTGCTGCCACTTTGCCATCTAGAAATTCAGTAGATTGGTCCGACCCTAGCCCTTTGGATGCCAGATGAAGTGGCCCCGCCATTGGCTGTTGGAAGGCAGTCAGACGCAGTCAAGCTAGCAGGAAGTTGCAAATCACACCGCTTTTTTGTCCTTAATCATTCAGTTTGTTTAGATAAGAAAATGTCTCTGAAATTATAACACAACCAATAACAAACTAAAAAAAAACGTAAAGGTTTCCCTGTCCAGTTTTGTCCAACTCTAGGGCATGGTGCTCATCTGTGTTTCTTGGCTGAGAAAACCAGTGTTGTCCGAATACATTTTTCATGATCATGTGGCCAGCGTGGCTATATGCCAAATGCGCATGGAATGCTTTTACCTTCCCACCTCAGTGGTACCTATTAAACTACTCACATTTGCATGCTTTCAAACTGCTAGGTGGGCAGGAGATGGGGCAATAAACGGGAGCTCATCCTGCCATGCAATTTTCGGGTTTCAAACCCTGGCTGTCAGCGCGGCATCTTTAACTGCTGAGCCATCACACGCACTTTAACAGTCTAGTATATTACTAAAACTCTCATGTCTGATACTTTGTAACCTTCAACTGTTGACCAGGAATCTAGTGTCTCTATTGACAGCCTTGAAGGAATATATGTGGCTATGTCATCATTGCCTTTGCAGGCCTTCAAGGTCATGGAAAGTTCCTTGGGAAACATCTAATGTCCCTGAGATAACACCTAATGTCCTTGGAAAACCTTCAAGGGAGGCGAATGACTATTTTTGTACTTCTTTAGCTTATCTAAAGTCCGCCAGCTTGTCTGGGTGGAGTGTGCCAATGCTTCTGGGTGAAGAAATGGACAATGTAGCAAACATAGAAATATGAGTGTCAAAATGTGTTCAGGGTTCCCTCTTCCTTAGAGGGACCCGCCTTTATTCAGCTGAATAAATGTGTAAAAGCGTATCAAGGCAAATCCCTGGACTGTTGTTATTCATACCGAGCCACACCTGAAATGGCAAAACACAACTGGGTGATACGCTGCATCATAGGCCAAAGCTTTGTCAACAATGGTTTCTCATATGGGCTAACTTAGAGAATATCAAGACCCATTACTTCCAAGGGAATTAAATTTGGGGGGAAATTTGTCATTTCAGTGCCACTGCACTGCTTTTCAGTGCTACCACGGTCAACTGCAATGACATGATCTTCCTTTTCAATATTCCCCGACAGCTTCCCACAAGTCCACAGGGAGCTTGGTAGTAACTGCTTTGATAGCTGACGCTCCTTGTCACCTTCCCATTAGCAAAGCTATTATGGGAAACTTGCAGAGAGGTCAATGGAAAAATGAGACACCGTGTTCTGGTCCCTCTGCACTTGAACAGCTGTTGGCCACTCGCCTCCTGCCTCCCACTTGTCAGCATCCAGCATCATAGGAAGAAGGGAAGGAAGGAGAATGAAAAGGGAGGAAAGAAGAGGAAATGACTTCTATGTCTCATTTTTCAATTTTCCTTTTGTTTGTGCACTTTTAACTTTCTCTTTGATTTTTCTATTTTTTTACTTTAGTTTCTAATAGGTTTTTATTTACATTTAATAATATCTTTCATTAAAATAGTATGCATAAGATAATTGATACATCACTTGGGAGAAAAAAGAAATTCAAACCAGAATCAAACCTATCGTCTGAGAGCTCAGAGTAAACTGCGCTATCATAGGCAGAGAAGGGTCCCACGTGGGCCCTTGAAAAATTAGAATGTAGCTCTCAAAATTCACTTAATAATAATAATAATAATAATAAAGTTGGAAGGGATCTTGGAGGTCATCTAGTCCAACCTCTGCTCAGGCAGGAAACCCTATACTATTTCAGACAAATGGCTGTCCAGTCTCTTCTTAAAAACTTCCAGTGTTGGAGCATTCACTACTTCTGGAGGCAGGTTGTTCCACTGGTTAACTGTTCTAACTGTCAGGAAGTTTCTCCTTAGTTCTACGTTGCTTCTCTCCTTGATTAGTTTCCATCCGTTTCTTCTTGTCCTGCCTTCAGGTGCTTTGGAAAATAGCTTGTAAGCCTGTAATTCTTAACATGAAAAATCATTAAAAATACTAAGGAGAAAATGTATATTCTTAATACGCTGATGTTCATACTGCTTGAAAATCAAATTTTGATTTCCTCTTGAGCACAACCACTGTTTGAAACATAGGATATTGCTCATCCTCAAAAGCCAGGTGCGATCAGATAAGAAAATCAGAAGCGAATATATGCAGATTATCTCCTTTTTGAGGGAAACTAAAATGAATCGTCACACACTTCAGTTAATTTTCCTTGCGATTTCCTTCATGGGTTATCAGATCAGACCCCAAAAATGAAAGCTCTTACCGCATTTATATAGTTAATCTTCACTGTGGATTTTTTGATGGGAAATAAGGTGAGAACTCTGAGTGAAACCCTTTCCACATGCTAGGCACTTATATTTTCGTTGCCCTGTGTGGATCCTTTTATGGGAAGCAAGATTGCTGGAGTGATTGAAACTCTTTCCACACTCTACGCATTGATAAGGTTTCTCTCCTGTGTGGATCCTTTTGTGGGAAGTGAGGGTGCTAGGGTGACTGAAACTCTTTCCACACTCTGTGCATTGATAGGGTTTCTCTCCTGTGTGGGTCCTTTTGTGGGAAGTGAGGGTGCTAGGATGATTGAAGCTCTTTCCACAGTCCATGCACTGATAGGGTTTTTCCCCTGTATGGACCGCTTTATGGAAAGCAAAGGTGCTAGAAAGATTGAAGCTCTTTCCACAATCTGGGCATTGATAGGGTTTTTCTCCTGTGTGGATTCTTTTATGGGAAGTAAGATAACTGCTTGTCCTGAAGCTACTTCCACACTCCATGCATTTATATGGCTTCTCGCCTGTGTGGATCCTTTTGTGGGAAGTTAGGGAACTGTTTGTCCTGAAGCTCTTTCCACATTCCATACATTTATATGATTTCTCCCCTGTATGGATGGTTTTATGGGAAGTAAGCGTATTGTAGTGAGTGAAGCTCTTACTGCACTCCATGCACTGATGTGGTTTCTCTCCTGTGTGGATCCTTTTATGGGAAGTAAGATCTGTGCTCCTTATGAAGCTCTTTCCACAATCCGTGCATTTATGTGGTTTCTCCTTTTTGTGGATACTCTTATGGGTGCTCAGATTACTAGAGTGACTGTAGCTCTTTCCACACTCTGTGCATTTGTAGGGTCTCTCCCCTGTGTGGATCCTTTTATGGGAAGTAAGATCTGTACTCTTTGTGAACCTCTTTCCACACTCCAAGCATTCATATGGTTTCTCCCCTGTGTGGATTCTGATATGGTTGACAAGCTTATCATTCCTTGTGAAGCTCTTTTCACACTCTGTGCATTTATATGGCTTCTCCCCTGTATGAACTCTAGTGTGGGCAATAAGTTTATCGTTCCTTGTGAAACTCTTTCCACACTCTGTGCATTTATATGGTTTCTCTCCTGTATGAATCCTTAAATGGGTGATAAGTTTATCATTCCTTGCAAAGCTCCTCCCACAAATGATACATTTGTATGGATTCTCTTCAAAGTGATTCATTTTATGGGAAATAGGTTTGCGGAGGTAGTTGAAGTTGTTTTCACAATCCTTACATTCTAATGTTTTTTTCTCCATCTCATCCCCCCGATAAGACGGGGAATTCTGACCATATCTGTTCCTTTCCTGTGTCCATTCACATGGGTGAGTGAAGTTTGATTGTTCTTCAAATATTTTATCAAAGCCTAAATACTGCCCCATCCTCTCTCTATTAAGATCATCTTGGGTCAGCAAATCATAGATTTCCAGACATAAAGGGGGATGGTTCATTTCCTGTTGATTATTTAATTGGATTCCATCTTCACTTTTTGGTTGCCAATGATTTGAGAAGGTGTCTTCTCCCACTTCAACCTTAAAAACCTGTAAAAGTGTGTCTTCTGGTTCCTGGTAAATCTCCTTCTTCTGCTCATTGCCTGATTGAGAGAGAGAAAAAACAGTGGAAAAAATTGTTTCTTCTCTTTCTCATAGAGAAGACTCATAAAAATATCATGGGCAACCAAGAAATCAAACAATACAAACAACCAGATTCAAATTATTCTATTTTAGACATAGGCAAAAACCTGGGTCTGCTGCTGGAAAATTAGGTCATAGTCTTCTTCGCATGAAGAAAAGTACAACATAATAAAGTGGATGGATTTATTTATAGTGGCAATGAGTGTATGACTGGAAGACCTCAAAATCCAGATCATATGGAGAAAATCTATGTGTTCTCAGTCTGTCAGTCAGTCAATCAATCAATCAATCAAATGTTTACATTTAATGGAGGAAGCCCGAGTTCTAATACCCTGAGTGAGCAAGAAACATTTTTTAAATTTATATCTTCTATGCAGTGCATCATTTTGTATCCTCCATCATGAATCCCCAGACATGTTTGCTCCAAATTAAAGAATCAAAACCACTATCAACTTTCAGCTCTTCACAAGGCGCCTGCTGGCATATGAGGCCATTTTCTCTAGGTCTCAGGAGGAAATAGCTGTGCACAACCTGGAGAAGAAGGCCTTATACAGCCAGCAGCTACTTTGTAAAGGACCACGCTGGCTATGCTTGGCCAGCAGTGGGAGCAAGAAGACAGCAAGGATGATCTAGGGAGGCAGGGGCCACAGAGTACAAGGGGCCAAAAAGATATAAAGGGGGGGAGATAGCTGTGTATGTGGGAACTATTGTGGATTTTGATCATGTGATTGTGGGGGGCAGAACAATGGCCATCATTTTGGGGACTGGTTGAGCGTACCTTTTTTCAGCACCATTGTAACTCTGAAGAATTGCTGAACAGGTGGTTTTTTAAGTGAGGACTACCTCTATTCTCGAGTATGAGAGCATGTAGAAAAAAGGAATACATACCTGTGTAGCTCCTGTAAGACCTCCCTTCCTGAAAGCTGGTCAGTCTATGCAAAGCTAAATGCACTGCATAGTCAAAAGGTTGAACACAGAACATCCAATATGGAAGATATGTATGCTTGAAGGTCAGTAAAGACCAAGACTAGTGCCTACCACCTCCAACAAATCAGCATCAAATATTAACAGGTAGACTGCCTATTTGAAACTTGCTGTCTAGATTGTAGCTCACAGATTCAAATGGCTAGCCTGGTATCTCAGGCGCAGAATACCTTAGAAGGAACCATAAAACAGATGGCTTCCAATTATAAAACACCATATTTGGATAGAGGAATTCTTACACAGAGAAGCTACATTCCAAGAGGTCTCCAGCATGACTTCTCCATGCAAAGCTTTCTCTTTGGGATCCAGCAGGTCCCACTCCTCCTTGGTAAAGAAGACAAACAACTCCTTGAAGGATATGGGACCCTGAAAGAGGAAGGAAAAGTTTCTTACTAATAGAAAAACTGAGGAAAGTAAAGTTTTCTCAGAAGCCCATGAAGCAGTGAAATTCACAAATGTTTTCCTGGCTGGTTTCAGAATGTGAGGGGCTACAGGGAAAGATTTCATTCTCCATCATCTTTTGGTACCAGCTAGGTCCCAAAGGTTGATTAAATTCACTGCACCTCACAGGACTCGGTGCCCCTGAACGCCCAAATCACAAGCTCATTCTAGAACCATCAGTTCTAGCTCTGCCTTCCATCCTCCAGAGCTGCTCCAGCTTTTATTCAAAAGCAGCTGACCAAGAGAAGGACAAGCAAAGTGGATGTCCAGAAGAAGAAAGGGTCTCACATTGGAACAGAGGTTGACTTTGAGGGGGGGGGGAGAGATAAAATGGATACTTCTTGCCTTAATCATATTTGCACTTTTGGGGGCACATGAAATTTTCCTCCTACCTGCCCTGGAAGCCCAACATTGGTTTCTGCTTCATTAGAAAGAGATGTTTTTCCTACCACCAGCTGGTATATGACTCTGTCCTCTGCAACCGAAAGATGGAGGAAATTGATATTTTTTTTAAAAAGAATGCTTTATAAATTCAGGGGTAAAACAGAAACAAAATCACTGAAGCACACAGGGCAGGAATAAAAACCCTTTGAGGAAGAATTTTGTTGCCTCAGAAAGAGTCCTCCCTTACCTGGAGACAAGTCCTGATTTAGATCCTTTGGAGAGATTTGCCCACGGAAATTGTTCTGACAAAGATTGACTGGATCCCTTCTTGCCTCAGGAACCTCAGTGATTAACTCCAGGAAGGATGTCTCCAGCTGCAGCTGTGGAGAGCAGCAAAGAAGGGCATGAGTTGCATGTGGGAACACAGAACTCTGCTTCAAAAGCATTTGGGCGGTGCTGCCATGTAAAAATGCCTCAAATATTTAAGATTGGAATAATTTTCCCACCCACCCCTTTGAACCAACCTGCATTTCTCCTTGTTCCTTCTCCTCTGCCTGGCTCAGAAGGAAACCTTCAGCCAGAGCCACTGCCTGGGAACTGGTCTCGGCTTTGCATTCCCGCACCCAGTTCCCCATCTCCGGTGGCATGATGGCTAGGAACTGCTCCAGCACCACCATGTCCAGCATCTGGGCTTTTGTGTGCTTTTCTGGGTTCAGCCATTGATTGCAAAAGTGATGCAGGCGGCTGCAGAGATCTCGGGGACCCTCAGCATCTTGGTAATGGAACTCCCTGAAGGGCTGTCTCTTTGCACAGAAAATGACTGTTTCTTCATTTTGGATCTTCAGTCCTGCCTTTCCTTGGATTACTGCACTGTTTTCCATATGAAGAGAATCACAAACTGCCAGTTCTTCCCAAGCTGCTTTTCCTTGGATCATTTTCCCTCTGGGCTCAGCTGCAACTCAGAGTGGAAGTCTTTCAAGCTTCTTTTGTTCTCAGGACTGGAATTTTATTCTTTTATTTTCAGGACCAGAATATCATAAAAATTGTAAGGAAAAATTTAACATCTTTATTGCTTGACTCTTGTTGAGGCACCTGCTGCCTAGTATTCCCAACCTACAATGCAAATAACGGAAAAGACCATCACTGTATTGTCCCAAAGGTGCTTTTTTTTCAAAAGGCTACTGGACTTTCTTTGTTTTTACTTAAAGACATTTTGTGTCTCTTCATAAGAAGCTTCAGAAGAATTGAAGAAGCTTCTTGGATGAGAAGTGAAACATCTTCAAGCAAAAACAAAGAAAGTGAAGTTGCCTTTTGGAAAAAAAAAAAAAAGCACCTTGGGACAACCATGACTTGGATGAGCAAGAATCTCCATAAAGACATGGTTATTCCAGCTTGCGGGACTGGCCTAGGGGAAAACTTTTAGAGGGGGTTTTAACTATAATTTTAATCAGACCAATCATTAATATTTCCCTTTTAATTAACTTTTAAATTTGTTGTTGGATATTTTTGTACTTTTTATCTGGTTGTTAGCCGCCCTGAGTCTGCAAGGAGAAGGGCGGGATATAAATTTAAAAAATAAATAAATAAATAAATAAACATCACTGTATTGGAAACTTCCTTCCTTGTTGAAAATCTCCTGTCTTTCAAGCCATCCCTTAGAGCAGTGGTTCTCAACCTGTGGGTCGGGACCCCATTTGGGGTCGATCGACCATTTCATGGGGGTCACCAAGCAAGGCTGTCCGCCATTTTTTTGTCCGCCATTTTTTTTGTCCGCCATTTTTTCCTCCTTTTCCGGCAGGTGCCTTACCTCCCTTGGGCTGGGCCAGCTGGTGGTCGGCCTGCTCCGTCTCTGCCGCTTGCCAGCTACGCCTTGGCCGGCACAGGGGGCAGAACCACGCATGCGCGGCGCTCCCGGGCAGGGAAAGTCCTCAACTTACGACCGGTTGGGTAGTCCTTGACTTACGACCGGTTTAGTCCTCGACTTACAACCGGTTTAGTCCTCGACTTACGACTGGTTTAGTCCTCGACTTACGACCGGTTGGGGTCGCGGCATTAAAAAGGTTGAGAACCACTGCCTTAGAGCCACTATGAGCATAGAAGATTCATGAATGAGGGTATTTTTCATTCATATCGGAGGGGCTGTTGGGCAGATCCAACACAGCAACTCC